AGCTGCAATTAATCCCCAGGAGCCAACAGAACACTGTTGAGAGTTCATCATAATCAATAGTGTTTACTTGACATGGCGGCTTCGCTACGAGTATATTTATCTTACGATTTCCCTCATCACTGTTGAAATGTGTAATTGTGTGATAGAAGTAAAACAAGTTTCTCAGTAGGGAGTGTGTGTCTGTGCATGTGTGCCCGTGGGTTTTATATTCATGGATAATACAAACGACAGGGAAACATCCTTAAGTACCATAAGTGCATCACTTGCATCATCCTTTATATGTTTTGTCTCTAAAAGGCCGTTGTTGGATCGTAAAGAGCTCAGGCAATACTACTGTAACTTCAGCAGAGATTCCCCCCCGCTGAAAAACACAAGAACCTCCTCCATCTCTCATTGGTCTTTGTACATGAGACAAAATTCACTTAGTCTGACAGTTAAGATTTTTTATTTAGTATGTACAAGCATATATATACAAGTGCAGTGAAAATATGCTGCACTGAAATGTGCTGCACTACAGAAATGTTCAAAAGAACACAGGCATAATGCCAAGGAAAGAAAGTATTTCTTGGGCTACTTGTGTAATTACTTTTAACTATAAGATAAATCTAAAACTGAAATTTATATAAGATAAATCCCGATAATTTCAGGATACCAAACTTGAAAAATAATTATGGCTGCTCTGTTTATAGTTTTCATTAAGATAAAGACTATACAGTGGAATTCTACATTTTCTGAATTACTGGTCCAACATGGAAAAAATAAATCCCCATACATATATGTAAAATCCCTGTATGAAAATAAACATATGATTAATACGTAAATAATAGACAGGCAGAAAAGGCATAAACTAAATGTCATGTTGGGACTGCATTAGGTTACAAAATGGAGGTGGATCAGAAAATGAGACCAAAAAGTTTTTAAACTGCTCTTCTGCACTTATTTGCTCCAATGAGACGTCTATAGAGTAAAACAGAAACACTGTGAAATCTCCACATTGATGGTTTAGAAAAGAGGAGAGAATAAGTATCAATTATGAATTTCCTCATATAGCTACAGAAACAGTGGCATGCATGCAGCTCATCAAAATCTTTATTGCATAGAACATACCAGAGCTTCCCATCTAATTTTCTTTTAACCTAATTGGTTCTATACAGCTCATAACAGCAGTATGTGTAATATACACAATGCTGTATTTGTATCCTTTTTTTTAAGTGCTTGCCTGGACATTATATAAGTAAGGCTGCCAGCTGTGCATCATTTGGACAAGAACATGTCAGAGTAGCATATTTCAAGGAAAAGTCCATGTAGTGTAATGGGATCATTAAAAGTCAATTTAGCCAAACCAACACAGATAAATGAGGGAGGGAGATGACAATGCTGATATTATTTCTTTGCAGATAATGTCCTGCTTTTTCTGTTTCTAAAGTGATTTCCCCTCTCTCCATCTGGCACTGGAGTCATGATTAAAGCAATATTAGTTTTTTTTCATTGGGAGACTGATTCAGAGAACAATAGATATGCTATTGACTGCAAAAGACACAACTGGAACCCATTCAAAAGAACCTGAATGTTTCTGTCTATCACAGCCCTGTCAGACAAGAAATGGGGATCCCCTGCCATTTTGGCCCCTCCTTGTGTCAGTGTGAGCAAGGCTGTTGTCCATAGATCAAGTCCAATACAGCAGTTCCTTGCCAGCAGCCACTCCTCCATTTTGGCTCTGAATGTGCCTGTATCTGTATGTGTCTGTTTATCAATAGACTCTTATTATTGTCCAAGGTGAGTGAAACCAGCCAAATCCACATAAGCTCATTATTATAGGTAAAACAGAACTCCTGGCTCGAGAGCTGGCTCAACAACTGAGCAGCAGTTGTATGGCTTCTGGCTGCTGCTCGTTCATAACTGAGATGGATATTGTCCAGCTCTTTGAAATCTGCTGCAAATCAGCCGAAACAAGAAAATGTCCAGACAGTGAGTCCTGGAAATTTCCTGGAGTTTGCCTTTCACATAAGAAGAAGGCAGCGAGAGATTGTCTGGATCAGACACTTTCACAACAATAAAAAATCAAAACGATCAGGTGTGTGGTGGCACCTGGGTAGAGCACAAAGGAGGCAGGTCATCATTTTGTTTACAACACATCAACTCTGATGTTGGCTCTTATCGCCAAAAGTTGTTGTTGACATCTTTGTCTGCCTGTTCTACTTGTATGGAACTTCTTTTTCATCCTGAGATTTTTGTACAACCATTGTCCAGACATCATACGAAGGGTCTGGCAGGACAACTTACAGAAAATGTCCAGAGTAACTAACTCAGAGACACAGCCCCTCCAGATTATATTTGAAAAATGTCCAAATGTCAGTGCATGTCTGAAAGCAGCACAACACTTAAAGGATACTGGTATCTGACGACCACTTAAAAGATTCCCATTAAGATTATAGTTATCTGATTCAAACTGAGGTTTATATTTCCCTCATACTGGACTGGAAGGTAAATGCCAAGGTGCTTGTGGGAAGGGCCACAAAGCAGTCTTTATTTCTTAAGGAAGCTTGTTTCTTTTAATTAACACAGCAAGACATTACATAACTTTAACAACTTGGTTGTTTTGAGAGCAATATTGTTTCAGTCTGCTGGGGCAGAATCATCAGACCTGGCAAAGCTAGCAAGATGAATATGCTGATTAAAAAAAAACACTGGGGCTGAGCTGGAACTGCTCTGGAGCTGTTAACAGTTTGGAGAGGAAGATGCTGCAATAACTGTCTGTTGTGGAAAAGATCTTGAATCCCCTCCAAGATCTAATAGTAGAACAGTAGAGATCTTTCAGTAATGGCTTAAGGATTTGCATATACCAATACCTGCATTAGACTACAGACCATAAACTCTGATTGATGTCCTTAGTGGCTAAAATGTTCATCACATTACAATAAATTAGTGTTAGATAGAAGAGATAACATTTCAAGCTCTATTTGTCTTACTCACATTGCTGCCACCTTACATTGGTTCAGCCACAACATTAAAACCAGTCAACTGATTTAATGTTGTCGCATATCGTTGTGTGTTAGCTATAGTTGACCGAGGGAAGGCATTTTGCAGAGTAAGGACTTTGGATTTGGTCCTCTTACACTTTAATGGACTGCAATTGCAACAGCCAGGACATTACATATCGATGTCCGAGGACTAATCTCAGTAAAGAAAAAGGTTATGTTGTTTTCCCCATGCTATTGCTTGAAGTAGCCACTTGGGTATATGTTAGGGCTGTAATGATTCTCCAAATCCATAGTTTGGTTTGGACGTCGGTTTTTGAGCCACTGTTTGGTTCATACCTCGTCTTTTTTTGATCTGAGGATGTAGTGGGTGCGTAAGAAAAACCGAGGGAGGGAAATTTTAGTAGGTCTAGGGTTGGTGTCTTGAATGGGCTCTTTGACTGGATGTGACAAAAGGCGTGTACACAAGGTTTCCCTTTAAACCACTTCAACGAGTGAACATTGTCTGGGCCATTTTTGTTCACTGTTTTACATTAAATGTCTTTTAAATATTTTAGCTACACTGTATTGCACATTTCAAAAATAGATCAAAAGACATCATAACCAGACATGAACCTCATGCAGCCTTTTGAAGTCCTCTTAGTGCTGCACTCGAAGAATGACGCAAAAAAGAAAAAAGAGTGGCTGTTATCGATGACTCTCAGTCTGTTAGTGGCATGTTGTTTGTCATGGACTCACAGGGAGTTTGGCCCGAGGACACTTCATCACTCTCGCCATTGACACCCACAAGTGATATGTTTTTTTTTTTTAGCTGTGATAAGACTGATCCTGGCTAGACGTTCAATCTGAAAGAGACATCCATCGTTCTCGTAAGAAAGCTCACGTTGTAATTGTTAGACCCACTGGTTATTCCAACTGTGTCAAACGGATTGTTATGATGGTGTTTGCTTTTACTGTGTTTTTTATTTGCAGTGTCTTTACAAGAAAATTATGGCAGAAAAACAACTAAGCGCTCCCCAACCTCACAGGTTTTTAGTTGCCTCTGTCTCTCTCAAAGGGAATTTCATTCTAACGGATTAGACTGTTTTGTAGACTCACTGCCCAAACAGCTCTGCAAATTGGATAAACACACACACACTTGCAGACCCAAGGACATACACATATACACTTGGGGCAGTGCACCCACACACCAAACCATGCCTCGGGGGAAATAAACCTCAGCCACACTGTTGTAGCATTAATGGCAAAAATCCTAAATGGTATTTTAAACCAAACAGAGAGAAGCATTGAACTCTTGCACAGAACAGAGTCTGGAAAATGAACGGCAAAGTCACCTGTCTTACAACTTTTTCATAATTTTGTCCATGACTAAAAACGATAAGCAAGATAAGCAAGTACCCTAATAACATCCAATTACAGGTGGAGAAGCAGATACCTTCTGTGCACTACCAGGGTGCACACAGTTCATATATAAACCTATTAAAGCCACTTTGTGACAGCATTTCAATTTTAATGTGATTTAAGAGGTCAGTATTATATTACGTGTTACAGTCTGTCAAATGACGATAATAAATTATCATGTCCAACATATTCATAAATACTGTGGATAACACTCTGAAAGATGATGAACTGCCCATGCATAATTAACAGCTAGGAGCAGAATGAGAATATATTCTTGATCTGGCCTGGATGTTTTATTAATGCTCCTCTGTATCTGTCATATTGCTGTTATCTATGCTATAAAGTGCTGCATTATTCACTATAGTAAATGGAATGAATAGATTTGGAAAATTCTCAAGAGACTAACTCCTAAAGCAGGAATTGCGTCTTGAGATGGGCCCTTTGCCCTTTTCGTGCACGAGTGTGCGCTGGACGTGCAGAGCAATGTCCCGTTATGAAGTTGCCCCCTCCAATAATGAACTGCTGCTTCTCTTCATAACAGGATGTCAAGACTTATGATAGCTTGTGAATTGCTGTTCAACAGCTACTATACACTGTATCTGCTTCTCCCTTTTCCCTCAGGAACACTTTACGCCAGAGTGCAAATTCAAGGAGTCGGTGTTCGAGAACTATTATGTGACATACTCCTCCATGATATACCGGCAGCAGCAGTCGGGCAGGGGCTGGTACCTCGGTCTGAACAAGGAAGGAGAAATCATGAAGGGGAACCACGTCAAGAAGAACAAGCCAGCAGCCCACTTCCTTCCCAAACCTCTTAAGGGTGAGCATATCCTCTTGCACACTTTACTGCTGTCGACAGTGATGCATTGTCAAGGTTGTCAATTCTCGAATTTTTAAATATGAACTTTAGAAAATGTCTGAAATAATGGGTAGAGCTCAGTAGAGCATGCAGAAGGGAAGGATATGATGTACAAATTCTGCAGCTGGAAACACAGTTATTTTTTACAGAATATTTTCACCAGCACCGACCTGTATCAACAAATGCTCTTGAAACGCATCATCTTTCCAAGTTGACTATTTGCCTGCGTCATCTACGAGTGTGGCACATCTCTATCATCCTGAGATATTTGTAGTCCTTTTCTTTATTGTTGTGAACGAAGAAAAAAAAAGTTTAAAAAGAGAAGTCCACATCTGTGCTCATATTTCAGCTTTGAACAGCTGACCAATCAAAGTGTTTAGGGGGTGTGACTTGTCATTTTATGGAAAATTGTAGCGGAATTGTGTTGCTGAAGCTATCCAACCATCCAACAAGCAAAAATGCAGGAATACTGGCAACTTGAGAAGCGTGCAATGCTAGGCATCAGGGATAAACTTGCTGTAGCTACATGATCTATTGAGAATGTTTTTCTTGATTAATCAGCAGTATCATTTGTCTAGCTGGCGAAAGGGTATTTTTCCCAATAAGAGCCAGTTTCTGAGCTCAAGCTTTTTTTGCTTAAAAGTCCTGATTTTCAATCTGGACTTTCTTATACTAAAGGCTAAATGAGATGTTTTCTAGATGACTTTCTGCCATTAAGCATGTATTCAGTGGCTTCCTCTAGCTGGTCACACTCCACTGCAGATACAGAGCAGCCGGGCCATCATGTGTGACCAGAGGCAGCCAGAACAATATATCTAAATGCTGTTAATAGTAGCAGGATTAATTTTCTATACAGGAAAGCCAAAGAGAACCCTTCCCACCTAAACCATGTGTGTGGTAGTACCGCTGGGGGAAAAAACAGGTTGACGACACAAGGAAAATATTCTGAAAAGGCCATTTTCACAGTTAGTCCATTTTCACTTGAGTGGAATAAAATAAGAGATGCTTGTTTTTGTGTGTGCACACAATGGCATGCCTGCTAGAAATCCTGGTTGTATACGTAATCTAACCTACTGGTTTTATGAAGAATCAGATACAGTATTAGGTCAAATAGTCAAAGTGAAAATTATTTGGTGTTTTAACGGCAGTTCCGGCAGTTTTTGAACAATTTAATATGTTGAATCAACAATTAAATGAATCTCCTTTTTTGATGTCTTATGAAAAAGAATCAATTTTGACTTGAATTAACACAGAAATGCATCTGGATATTCTTGTATTAAAATATATTATCACGACTTACAAAACAGTACAGTATCATATAACTTTGTCGTTTTTTAATTATTTCAAATGGATAAAAATACACAAAACATCTATTAAAAGATTTGCCAGATTCTCTACATCCTCACGGCAAAAAAAGTAGAGGTTGTAGATTTAATACATCTGTAACTATCTTTGTAATACTCCTTATGAGCAGCTTCACTTAGATATTATCATAACATCGATTTCACTAGTGAATTAAATTCTCAATTTCTTTTATTTGTCAACGCAACGCTGCCCCTTGCATCTTTGCTGGAGCCCTTCCAGCAAGCATCTTATTAAGAATCCATGTCTGCCCTGCGAGATCACTATAATAGCTTTTCACATTCATTTAACAGGCAGTCCAGGGGGTCTCCAACACACTTAAGAGCAACAGCTAAAGAGTAATTGCCTCACTTTATGCTGAGAGCAAAAAAACTGAGAAAGAGAACAACAAGGATAGATATAGGCTGGATGACACATTAATTCTAACAGACAGCAAAAAACCTTGCCCTCAGCTTCCCTTTATGTATTTTATCCAGAGGCAGAAATATAAAGATAACATTTTATTAAACAGATGTGTTGTGTAGATGTGTAGATGTAATACTCAAAGATGTAAGTCATCTTTTGCACACTTTAAATAAGCCAGACCTGCAAAATATTTACTGAAACTCCTACGTGATTCAAATTCCAGATGTTGCTAACAAGTTGTTTGTAATGCACTTTGTGTGGCAAAGACAGAGAGGGCGAAAAATTTAGGAGAATTTGTTCCAGCAGCTCATAAAGATTCAGAGGCAGTGGTGTTACAGGGCACCAATTAAGAAGCTGTCTCTGCATTGGCAGTGGCATTGCCTGCAGCCATTACTCACTGCTCTTCTGGTTCCAGTCTGTGAGTCTGAGCCCACAGCCTCTCATTCTGTCTTCCTCTGGATGGAGAAAGTTCAGCTCACGTCAGTCAAGCCCAAACAGGAAAATCCTCTTAAGATTCTTGCAGAAAGTCTTGATGCACGACACAAAGAGCTCAGGGAAGTGTGTATCCTGTTAAGTGGTGTCTTCCACAGACGACACAATGAGACTTGTGTGGAGAAATGTGAAAAAAAAGACTAGATGGGTGGTTACTGGGGATTATGTTTAAAAATGAATAGTAGTAGTTGTGTTGTTGTGGAGGTGATACCCTGACCATTAGATCAGTAGCCAAACATTGCAACTTTGCAATACTCTCACTAACAAGACCGCTACCAATCACCAGCAGTTTCCCAATGTACCCTGCCATTGATTGATGTGTATGCACAAGGATGGTCTCTGGATTGCAGCTCAGGAAAAACTGCTGGGCTAAGTGAAGTGTCTAAAAGACTATGTTTGCTGTTTCAGCCACAGATTCCCTTAGGAAGGAACATCAAATAGCATTCTAGGCAGAAGGATGTTGACAACATCCTGAAACCAAAGACTGTGAACCTCAGATTTCTGATATTTCTTCTGAAAAGCAACTGCTGAGATGCAGATTGGACCAACTGCATACACAGCAAAGCGAGAGCACTAGCTACTCCTGAATTTATAATGCTCTGCTGTAAATGTAGAATTTTTTTTTTACTTTAGCACCAAGCAGATCTGCTGGGATCTCTTGATTCAGCAGTTTGAAGGGAACTATAAGTAAAACCTTATTATACTATGGCAGGACCTTCTCTAATAACCAAAGCAGACTATCACTTAATATTTCCATTACCACAGTTCTTGTTTATTGTTATGTTTGCCCAATTTCAATCTGTCTGATTCACACTTCTCTTGTGTTTCCACAGTGGCGATGTACAGAGAACCATCCCTCCATGACTTGACAGAGTTCTCCCGCTCTGGCAGCGGCACGCCCACTAAGAGTCGGAGCGCCTCGGCCGTACTCAATGGAGGCAAAGCCGTGAGCCAGAACGAGTCGACGTAGCCCGGTCGCCGAATCCAGGCCTGTGGCCGAACCATGAAACCTTACCTCCAGCAGAGTGTGACTCCAAGCAGACTTCTCTCACCGATCAGCAGTTCAGGACTAGCTACAATAAACAACACACAAAGACCCACAACCCATCTATATATTAAAAAAACTGTCAATCATTGTTTCTGTCTCAAAAATAGTATCAATAAGTATGAAACTTAAAGGCACATAAACCATTCTGGACTTAAAAAAAAGAATTAAATATTTAATTTTGGCCTTGAGATCCATTTATTATCTTGATCACTCTTTTGGTGATGACTGCATACCAGTTAGCTCATCTTTATCTCACATTGTTTTGTCTTAATTTCATGTGGACAATAACTTTTCTTAGCTCATTTAGACACCAAGCACTCGTGCATCTGTCAGACAGGGACAGGAAGTTAGACATGTAGGTGTTCAGGGCAACCAGTAATGGTGCTGGTGTACAAAGGCTGCAGTGGTTCAGTACAAGCCCTGATCTATGTCTCTTCCCTGCTTCTGTGAATACAAAGCCTATAAACTCCCTGGCGTGGCACAGCCTGGAGTTGCTGGGACTGTGGCCAGCCAGACGGTAGCTCTCCTGCATCCTAGTGCACACGCTCCGAGACTGAGCTCTCTAGCATGGGAAAATGAAGCCTATGTTCAGCTGACCTGAAATATACAAGGGACAGTGTGGCTCTCTTGCAGTTTTTTTCCAGAGATACCACAGCTGCACCTTGTTTTTTGCTAATTTTCTGAATTAGCAGAGAGCTTTTTATTTGATAACTGGTTTTGTTTTTGTCCCCTGTTGTTCTCTTCCCTTGCCATTGTTCAGTACTTGTATTTTCTGTCACCGTTTCATCATTGAAAGAAGTTCCAGCAAACCAAAGACAGAACGTAAGAGTGTCCCTTTAAGCCACTGAAAACCAAGTCAGAATAAAGGCAAAGCTGGAATTTATTTTCATTGTACATTTTTAATGAAAGAAAGCAAAGATTTGTTGGGCAAAAAGGAACAATGGTAAAAGGAAGTGATTTTAAACTTAAAAGTTGGCAGCGTGCTTGATGTCGTGCTTTTTGCTGATGTGCTCAATGGCCGAGGTCTGAAACAATTAATCTGTGTCCCCATTCCCTCTGTTACCTCTGTGTTCACAATGTCTCCGTCTTTTGTCCTCGTGATGGGTTTTAACCTTTTGTGTCATGCTTCAACCCGCCCTGCCATCCTTTTTTGTCGACTTCTATTGACTGATAAAGTTCACCATAGGAATATGGTGCAACAAGCCCTTTCCCAGGATGCTTGTTATGTGTTTGAGTAACTTATTGTGGTGACAAAATT